GTACCTTCCTGGACCCGTGTGCCGTACACCGGAGTCAGTGCCTTCGCCTTCCAGGGGGCATTCTACACACGACCCAGCTTCTACTCATCTTTGAAAGCATTCACTCTGGGCGACAGCAAGCATGGCCCGAGCACATTAGGGCGAGTCCCCGTGGAGGGAAACGTGCAGCTACTGAGCTCCCGTAGTTTTACTCAGCCCTCCTCGGCTGGCAGGGCAGGAAGGAGGCACACAGCTGCTGCCCTCGGTGCACTGTCCCCCAGCAGGGAAGCAGAAGCCTCTGCGCCAGAGAAGGGGCGGGTTCCGTGTCACCCAGGTGTGCGAGGTGGCCTGGAAGCCCATACCCACATCTCTCGGTGTTTTCCTTTTAAGCCACGGGTTTCACAAACCACAACCACAAGCTTGTACGTGGGCTAGTACTTGAGCACCAGAGCTGAGGATGACAAATGGCCTCGGGACTGGGCTCTGAAGTAGTAAAGATGCGAGTGTGCGAAAACACAGGTGCACTTGCAAACTGCCAGGCTACACATACGGCTCCACCCCATGCCCCACCCCACGCACACGCACACGCACACACACGCACATGCAGAGCTTGCTCCCAAATTAATTTGAAAGGCTATTTAGCGCTGAGCTCTCCCCGTGCTCGGCTGTATCTGACTTGGGCTGAGCACTGAGAGCTTTCGATGGCAATTCTGTTCCTGGGATTTGTTTGAAAGCGTTTAGGTTTTCACGGATCACTGGAGGTTCTTCATTTTCCCTCATCTGTGTTATGTAGGTATAAGCCATCTCTCTAGGCATAAACTGTCCACTGGTAAAAATCAATTTTGATTGTATCAGTATTTATTACTGCTGGTGCAGCAGTTTCCAGGACTAGAGAGGGAAAACATGCAAACTAGGAGGAGAAAAAAATTAAAGCCAGGTCCTCACACCTACAAATAACAGCCTGCCATCTGTAAGACGCATTTTGTAGGGTGCCGAGTGAGCCAAAGTGATCAATTAAATAACCCAATCGATAAAAGTTTATAGGGATGTTACTGTTCCCTCCCCTTCTGTGAGCACTGGGGCTGGGGTTTCTGAAGCCAGGGCACCTGTCAGACGCCCTCGACGGCAGCAGTGGCTTCCCACCTAGCACCCTCACCACCTCCGCCTCACTCTCTCCATCCGCCCATGTACCCCTGATCACCTGGGCCTCCCCCTCGAGAAGAGCAGAGACCAGCGTGAAGGAGCCCACCCTCGCCACCTCTGCCTTCCTCTCACGTGTTCCTTCTGTCATTTGAAAACACACAGCCAGACGTGCACGCTCCTCCACGCTCTCACAGCTGCACAAGCAGCGTTCACGCCACATGCTTGCCTCTTCCAACACCTCTGCAGGGCAGGAGGCCCTCCTGCTCCCAGCCTGCACCTCTCCTTGGGATCTCTTCCTGTTCAGAAAAAGTGCCCCCCAACATGCGTGCACCAAGGCCCACTGCAGGAGGAAAGCTTCAGAAAACGGTTAGTCGGAGGGAAGAGACAACTTTGGTTTTAACATTTGACTTTTAGCTGCAACTAAATGCATCCTCTGGGAAGCGAAGTTCCTCTTCCTACATGTACCCTAAACACATTACCTCCAGAGACCATGAGAGTAGCTCCCCAGGCTCCTTTACAAACTGTCATAGACCCCCACCGGCTGCTTTTGCAAAAAAAAAAAAAAACCGGCTTTTGCAAAAAAAAAAAAAAAAAAGGTTTTGATGCCAGTCTGGCGCGAGGCTGCGGTGTCCTGGGCACTGTCTGGGACTCCCCCACTCACTCTCTCCAAGGCGGAGGGGGGCTGGCAGCTGCTGCACATCCCATCTGCCCACCATTGAGGAACTCCGTCCCCTTACAATAGGTGGCGAAGGCCCGGGCCTCCCAGCTGTCTTCACCTGCTTTCAAAAGCACTCACAGCCACCTGCGAAGATCCTGGAGACTAACATGTGCTGGCCGCCTTCCTCAGGCACGCTCTGTGCAGTTGGGACCCCGGGAGCTCGGGGAGAACATCCGCGCATTCCCTGCGTGTGCCCGGGCCTTCAGTCGTCTTCTCACGAAGACAGGGAGTTCCTTACGCCGCCCAAGCACAGAACTTCCACCTGGCCAGTCTGGAGGTCCGACCCACCTTGCCAGGCCAGGCTCGGGAACAGGGTGGCTGGAGGTGTGACAGCTAGGAGCTTCCTTGAGGGAATTTGTCCTCTCAACCCATGCACGGGGGGGTGGGGGCATGCTCGGCACACCTGTCACTAATCTCTGTGGCATGACCCCAGGCCCAGAGGGGAGGTTGCTTTTTATCAAAGATCAGAGTAATGGGTTTATTTTTCACATTCTCTGTTGAAGCCAAAGTACATACACGTATACACACACACACAGCGGGGAGGGTCTTCAGAAAGTTCACGGAAGGGCTCAATGACGGTGCAGTGGTGACACATGACACTGCAAGGCTGACCACGGGGGTGATGGCCATCGTATCCAGGGCCCTGCTTCCGAGTGCTGGGCACTCCATGCCCACGATCCAGGCTGGCTGAGGCCAGGGGATGGTGGTATCAAGACCCTGTTGGGGATGCTCACTTGCTCGCTCTCTCTCTCTCTTGTTCATAAAAGAAATTAAGAAAACTTTTTTTAAGCTCATGAAGAATGTATCATGAAAAATTATATGCATGGATTTCAAAAATCTTTTGCACCAAAATGAACCTGTATTTTAATGCCACTTTTCCATGAACTTCCTGAAGCCCCATGTACGTACCTACCTACCTATGGCCTTAAACAAGTCTCTCTCACCGATAGGCACGTTTTCCGTTCAGTTTTTGTTATAGGGTGTGTGCACTTGCCAGAGACAGACAGAGAGAGGGAAAGTGAGAAATCGCGCCTCAGGAAGACGGCCATGCCACTATCCCTGCCCCTCCAGCTTCTTCTCAGGGTTTAGGGCACACACAACATGTGCTCAGAGGTTTTCTCAAGCTGCCAGGTCCAAGACTTGAACTGCATAGCCAGCCATGAGGGATTGGGCGCCTTAACCTCCACACCATCTGCTGGTCCCAACATGCACATTTAAAATCAATCCTCCAAGAGCAAAAGGATGATAAAATAGTAATTCCCCCCATAGAGCAAATGTGACAAAATGACAAAAGAACTCTTAATTTTGGGGCTTTATTTTAATTTTTTTTAAGATGCTACATAGTCAAACAGGATCAGACTGGTCTTTTATGGCATCAAATTAATTCACAGTCAGACTCTCAGTCGCGGCTACGTGGGTTAGCTGGCGCCTCGCCCCCTCCCTCTGCTGGCGCCCCCAACCCTGAGCCTGACTCTGTCCTGACTCGGAGAGGGCCCTGCGGGGGTCAGGACCGGGCTTACATGTGGAAGTACACGTGGTGGTTGAGAGGTGGTCAAAGAACAATCTAGAAGACTGGCTACTCTTCATCACAAAACTGGCCCTGCCACTACCAGAACTTTCCTCCCGGTGACGGTTACCTTTATTGACACAGAAAACCCTTCCTGGCAGCTTTCTCCAGCACACAGACGGACCCCACTCCACATGCCCAGCACCTCCAGGCCAGAGGGGCCATGGTCCCCAGCAGCGATGCCTGCCAGCGTCACCCACTGGCATCAGGCAGCACGGGGATTTTTAAGTCGCAGTGTTAACTGTAATCTTGTGACAATAAGAAAACATGAGATGAAATACATTAAATAAGTTAAATATGCATTAAACATCTCCGAATAATGGTTCACTCTCACTGCATGAACCAACAGGGATTTGGCTTGGTCCCTCTAAGAGAACGAAGCATTGACCTTGATTCCAGAGCATGGGGCCCACCAGCTGGCCTCCGCTCTCCTTCCTGACGAGCACTTCGGTCCCTACTGGTGCCACCTTTTTGGCTCCGACTCTGTTCATCAGTCCCAGGACTGAGGGCTTGCGAAGTGACGGGAGGGGCAGCCCAGGGAGAAGGTGGGCAGTGTGGGGTGACTGCGTGGAGGTGCCCACACTCCTCGCCACACCAGGCGCCAGCTCCCCATGGGCCAGCACCGCCAGGCAAGAAA